TTCAATGTTATATGCCCCAGTCATGCACAGTATATATGTGATTGTATGAAATGAAATGGAAATGGAAATAAACGTATTTTGATAAAAAAAAAAATACCATGCAAAATCTGCCCTGCAACATACATAGGACAAACAAACAGGAGAATAAATGCACGCATCGCAGAACACAAGAACACAGTAAGAAAAAAAAAACCTTCCTTTTCCAGCATCTTAAAGCTACAGGACATGAAATTAATTCTGAAGTAATGAGGTTAATCTCAACAACTGAACACCTGAACAAGAGAATAATTATGGAGGCTATCGAAATAGAGAAACACCCCCTACAACATGAATAAACGTGACAATGCCTCCTGCCTGCCAGACATATGGAAACCAGCCCTGGTAAACAAACGAGCCCCACCTAGCCCGTTACAACACAAAACAACAATGGACACACAGCCAGTACCAATCAGCACCAATCTACCAATCATGATACAGCCAATCAATCCACTTACTGAAACGACAGCACTCCACACACCCCCACCAAGATTTATAGAAGGACGAAAGCTCTGACCCCCTTTAAACCAAAAACACCAGCCTGAAGATGCACACACTTGCCTTGGCTGCACTGAATGAAGAATTGTCTTGGGCTGCATCTAAAGATAGATAGATAGATAGATAGATAGATAGATAGATAGATAGATAGATAGATAGATAGATAGATAGATATGATATGAGGAGAAATTTCCTGACAGTTAGAACAATCAATCAGTGGAACAGTTTGCCTCCAGAAGTTGTGAAAGCCCCAACACTGTAGAAGACGTTGGATAGCCATCTGTCTGAAATGGTATAGGGTTTCCTGCCTAGGCAGGGGGTTGGACAAGAAGACCTTCAAGGTCCCTTTCAACTCTGCTATTGTATTATTGTATTATTGTACTATTGTATTATCTAGGTCTATACATTTGGCAGAACGAACAAAGCCAAGTTGACCCCTAACATCAGTGACTGTTAATGGCCCCTCACCCACTCTCAGCCCAACACACCTCACAGGATTGTTGTGGTGGGGGAAATAGGAGGAGGAAGAAGTATTAGGTATGTTCACTGCCTTGAGCTACTTACAAGGTAATAAAGGTAGGGTTAAAAATCTAATAAATAAATCATCCAATTTCCTGTGAAAATTTAAGGTTAATTACATTAAACTGAAATTATTTTTAAAAAGTGCACATGAATGGTATTAAATTCCACTAATATTTAAGATATTTTTCTCTTATTTTGAACCTGTAGATGCTTATTTGTCGAGAGCTGAGATATATAGAAAACAGGGAAATAATCACTTGACAAAGTATAATTTTAGTTTGGCACTGAGATACAGACCCACAGATCCTGAAGTATATTTCAAGAGAGGTGAAGTCCATGAAGAAGAGGGTGAGTTATTACTGGCAATGGAAGATTATTCAAAGGTATGCATTATTATTTTTAATTGCATTATATATTGACCAGCTCTTAAAGAATTGTTTGACTAAATCTATAAACCAAAAGAATTAATTAAAAGAGCAATATTTTTTTAAAAATTTCAACAGTGGTTATAATACCTCTGAAACCCAGGTTAATTTTAATGTAGTTTGTATGAAAACATGATGGTCTGTTGTTTAAAGAAAATAAATAATTATAAAATTAAAATAGTAATAAAATAAAAATAATTAAAAATAACAAATAAATAAATTAAAAAGAATACAAAAACAAACAAAAAATTCAAAGGGCCAACTCAGTGGACCACTGGGTCTTTTTCCGCCATCGGCTTTCTATGTTTCTAAACAAAGCCAAAGTTGGATAATCTTCAACCTGTCTATGTCTGCAAGTTTTAAAATTTTAATAAATGAATAAAACAAATGGATAATTAGTTAGTTTCAGATGTTCCTTAATCCCCAAGCATTGATTATATGAAAATAATAAATACTACTCTCATAATGTTACAAAAAACAACAGCAACAACAATAGTTTTATCAATCTTTTGGGGGGGGTGTCAACATGAACCCTGATATATATTAAACCCAAGGGCTCCATCCATGTATAGTCATGTAAAAAAATAAGTGCACCCACTTTGACTTATATGGTTTTATGTATCAGAACATAGTAAAAATCATCTCGTCTTTAGCAGTTCTTAAAAGTTGGTAAATGTCACCTCAGATAAACAACACATGATATATATTAAACAATGTCTTCATTTCTTTTACAAAAAGTAAGCAAAAATGGAGAAACCATGTATTGTTGTTCTTCATACCTCCTTTTAAGAACTGCTAAGGACCAGAATATTTTTACTATGTTCTGATAAGTAAAACCATAAAACTCAAACAGGCTGTACTTAAGTGTATGTATAAACTTTAAACTTTAATAGGATTTGTATGCCGCCCACTCCCTAGGGACTCTGGGTGGCTCACAACAAGTAAAATCATTTAAAATATTTAAAAATACAAAATTAAAATCAATACAACATCCATTCCATCAAGTGGGGCTGGAAATTAATCAACAGCCCCAGGCCTGCCGGAAGAGCCAGGTCTTGGTCGCTTTACGGGAGAGTGGTGAGGGTCCAGATCTCTGCAGGTAGCTTGTTCCATAAGGCCGGTGCAGCTACAGAGAAGAGCCGCCAGCCGGCATTGTCCGGTCGACGGCACCGGGAGGAGGCCCAACCTGTATGATCTTATTGATTTTAATTTTG